AATCGGACATCGTGGATTCGACGTGAAAACGATGGTGTTCTTACCTGAAATGGGCATGGTTGGACTCCTACAAGCCTCACGAACTCGAATATGGCCTTGGATTCCACGATCTGTGAAGGTTTGATAGGTTTATGGGTGTGTCTGTACGTTCCAAAGGAAATGGGAAGGGAATGGGGCTTGGGACAGGTGCAGAAAACAGGAGGAAAAGGCTGTGGTGTGTGGGAAGGTGTGTGTGGCTCCAAACATGCCAACCAAAACTCAAAAACAACCAATAAACGTAAAGGAAACAAACTAGAGGCAAAACTGTCTTTTCACGCGTACATTTTAACATTCCCGGGACGGGCTGTCACATATATCAACTTGGTCCACTCATGTTTGTTTTACGCCCTCTCAGGTTTTAGAATCAAGGCGTATAATCTCGACATTAATGCACTTCTACATCGGCAGCTTCAAGTCCTCCCGGTGTAGGACTCATTCGCTTATTCATTAAATTTTATATTATTTCTTTTTAGTGTTCTAAATTAGTTGTATACTCTGAACACGTTCCTCATTTGCATATTAATCTATTTAAATTTATAAGTCTTATTTATTTCTTATTCTCATACATTCTAATATGGCTTCGTCACCTTTGGGTATCAGCCAGCACGTGCCTATCCTGTTGTTTGAGGAATATCAGGATCAGGCGTGTCAATTTGGTATCATAGCAGTTTCAATCCTCACAGATTGTACTTATTCTTTAGAAACCATCTTATTTCTTGAATTAACAATGTTGATGGTGGCTGAATAAACGATTATAATTAAAAATAAGAATAAAGTTAGTGAAGCATAAGGCTTGAGACTACAAATTTGAACCCACTCGTAAAAATCCTTAATTCATATAGAGCTTAAATAATAATAGGAAGGTTATTGGATGTTGGACTTGGTGTAATATGTGCATAAGTTTGATTTGAGCTACAATCAAGTAGATTGATCGATTAGTTTGGGTTAGGTATGGGCAGATAAAAAAATCAACCCAACTCAACTCAATAAATGGTCGGGTTGGATTGGGACGGGTTATGACTAAGAAAAACTCACCCAATCACGTTTAAAGTTGGGTTGGATATGCGCGAGTTCCGGGTTGGCCCAACCCAAGTCGCACCCGTCACCACCACCACTACCTACCATTGTTACTGCTTCCACCACCACCCATATTCATCATCGTTGCCACGGTGGCCATCACACACCGTCATCGCCACCACCGCTTACCATCATGATCACCTTCTCCATTGCAATCACCCATGATCATCACCTCCACCACCATCATCAATATCGTCACCATCACCATCACCGCCGTTGCCATCACCATACCATCATTACTGCCACTGCCACACCACCTATCATCACTATTACCATCGTTGTCAACGCTACTGCCAACCACCATCATCATCATTGCCGCCACTACAACCCACCACTGCCACCAGCCACCATCATCTTTGTCACTGTCACCACCACCACATATTATCATCACCGCCACTGCCATCACGACCACCACCACCACCCACCATCATCACCACCTCCACTTGTATATTTCCTAATTATTATCTTTCATATATTTATTGTTGACTTTAAATACACATTAAATTTAGTATTTGAATTTTCTTATTCTTTTAGGTTAGTGTTTGGGCCCAAAATAATATTATTGGGCCGAGCGTAAGTTTATGTTCGGCCCAAAACTTTTCCTAACGTACTATGGGTTGTCTAGTGGTCAGAAGCCGTTCAGTTAAGGCGGTCAAGTCCTATTGCCAGAATGAGTGATTTGGATAAGAGCAGATGGGTCGAAGTCCTAGTACGATAAGGAGTCTCAATGAAGCAAGGACGCTGAGATTTGAAAAGTGAAGGTGGCCAGATAGAGAATTTGGTTCAAAGTCCTAGTAGGAGTAGGATTGGCCGAGCCTTGGTTGGACTAGGATGAAGAATCCTAATTCGAGTATAGTTCTGATTCAGCCAATATGAGATTAGTTGCTATAAATAGGAAGGGATGCGTCATTCGAGAGCCCTCCAATTCAACACACAAACTACCCTACACAAACTTCTCAAATATCTTGAGATTTTTTATTTTCTTTTTCCGCCAACACACCTTCAGCTTGGATAAACAGCACTGTGAAGGCAACCGGTGAATATCTTCAATTTGGATAAACAGAACTGTTGCCGTAGAATCAACTGACCGAGGAACACCTTCAGTTTGGATAAACAGCACTGCATCGAGGTCGACTGGTTACATATCCAAGTCTCGATCAAGAAGGGTTTCCAAATCCTTATTGGCAGAGGTCATCTTATTAGCCTTATCGGCGAAGTGAGGTGTTACAAGTTACTACATTCGGCACATTGAACGTCGAGTGGTTTTATGATTGGATACTCACAAATGAGTTTCAGAGTTCGGCATTCTAACGACCGAACCACATTTACTGTCAAGACATACATCTCTTTTGAGTACATGTGTTCGTATAGTTTGGAGCCGGTTCGCCGTTCTTATACTCTTACGAATATAATCACCGTGACCAAACCCGGTGCCGACGATTCGTGATTTTCGCAAAACTAGCAGCCTTATCTTCAGGTTCAAGAACCTGAAGGCCAAGACGTGTTCCTTCCTCGGTCGCAGTTGCAAAATCAAGAAGTCAGTAGCGCGTTCAACGCAACATCAACAAATTTTACTCCTCGGCCGACGAGTTGGCATGCCCCGTATCAACCGAATGACATAATTAGCTCATTAATTACTCGGCATGCACGCCATGTAGACTTTGTAGTTTTTAGGAGTTAGTCAACAAAAAAATTACAAATTTTAAAATATAAATTTCCATCATTTTGAAAAACTTACATTTTGTCATCCAACATAGTGTTAAAGCATTCAAGTTCTGGATATTCAATGTGTTTTCGATGAACCAAAAAAGTGAAGAAAGACGAGGCCTATGGCTTACTATTCTTTCTATACCAAAAAAAAAAAAAAAAAAAGGAAAATTCTATTCACTACTATCCTAGAAAATTGATCTTCACAACCAGGCCCACATTTAAAAAATGAAACTCACTCAAGGAATATAATAAAAAAAATTTATCAAAACTTGAGTTTGAAGATCAATTTATCAGTTTTGTATAAGGACTTACATGATACAAATACATTGTTATAGTGACGTTCTATGCCAATGAAATAAAGATATGTGTAAGTTTTTGCCCACATGTTTTGATTTTATTAACATGAGAAGCCACGTAGCAGTATACTCGTGCCATATAAATTATTCTCATTTTGTATATTATGAACCCAACAGCCAACTTAGTGAACCTTTGGTTTTTCTGGACGAAAGAATGTAGTCCACGCCCCACAGCTAGTAGATTTCTTGAACGGTAATATTAGTAATAATATGACCTTTTATCTTGGATTTCTGGAGGCTTTTTTCCGTTCGTATCTTGTCATTCATATATAGCATAATATATAGCAACACTTTTCCTTTTTGTTTCGTACTGTATGTCAAGCAATCCCCTGGTCCCTCATGAGCATGATGAAAGTCTCGGAATCTATACGTCAACAAAAAAAAAAAGTTAGAAAATCAAGGAGAAAAAAAAAAGTTTGGGAAGCATCTCAAACGCAGGTGTTTTCGTTTTCTTTCCCTTCCAGAGTAGGATTTTTCAGTTGGCCACTAGCTCTAAATTTATATGCTTTTCTTTATTGGTAAAAGAACCAATAGCTTATTATACTTTTGAGTACAAAGGGCACCAAAACATATATTCAGACCAAAAGAAAAGGCACTAAACCATTTAAGTATAGAATATCAAATTACTGGTGGGATGAAGAAGGCAATGAACTTTCTAATTGCATTTTCTTCTTCCGTACGCTAAACTGGTTCCTTGGTTCTTCCTCACTTCTGCTTCTGGGTAATGCCAAAAGGCCAGTGATCCCAGCTGCTAGCTATCTATACTACTAGCTAACACTGAATTAACAAAATTAATAAATGATAGTATCAGTACCTCGTATTATACCTAACAAATTGGAAAATTCTAGCCCTAGAATAGCAAGACCATCTTGCTTTTTTATGTTGATCCAGATGACTTAAAGTATCAGATGAATTGAAGTATGAGAGAAACTTACATACAGCCAAAACGCTAGGTGATAAAGTTTCAAACCTATCACAGACCCTGAAGTGTTTTAATTTTCTTATATGACATTGCATGATTGGTTTGAAATACTACAGTCTACAACATTGGTGTTCGAATTGTAAGTTTTTTTTTTTTTTTTTTGAACAAGTGATATTATCTACACTAAGGAGAGGAGGTGGGCTTAGCTTCATAATGGGCTAGCAATAATGTGATTCAAACTCGTATTTGGCGAGAATCGAACCTAAAATCTCTCACTTACAAGTAAAAAGGAATACCACTAGACCGTAGTACTAAGTGGCGGAAGTTATTCTTCTAAAAAAAAAACAATCATGTATGAGATTTTTTACTTGCCAAATCATTCCAATCCCTAGTTCTTTTGGACATGAATTACAATTTGTAATGTCATACCCGTCTACATTTCGGTTCTGAGTCTAAACACAATGAGAGTCAACAATTAGAATAATTTTGATTATCATTTCAAGTAAACATGTTATATTTGTGTTGATGAATGCATGTAGTTATTCAGTAATAACAGTTCATCGAGTTACAACAAAACACTATACAACATGCGTGAATCATGTGTCTCACGGCATAGGCAAACTATATATGACAATAATATTCCTAGAGTAAGAATATCAGGATTGCCATGCATGTAACCTTTCGTGAAGGTGAAAAAAGATTTCGAATGCGACCAGACAAATTTATAGACAATCCCTTGTCTCTAAAGAATGAAAATATCAAATATTAGTCTTTACTGGCGCTTTTGGAGCAAACCCTAATGGAAGCAAGGTAGCAGCTACCACATATTGTTTTTGCCCTTCTTTTCTATCCATTTTAATTGCATGCATCAACTATATAAGCCCTAGCTAACTGGCTTGAACTGAAACCAATAAACATCGAAGTCATTTCTCTCCTGCCCATCCCCTCACAAGCAAGCTTACAGCCTCAACCTTTCGAAATGGCAGCTGCTCAGAATTATAATAACCCCCCTGCACCGGCTGCCCAGAATTACAATCCTGCCCCTATGCCAGCTGCGCAGAATTACAATCCTGCCCCTATGCCGGTTGCTCAGAATTACAATCCTGCCCCTATGCCGGTTGCGCAGAATTACAATCCTGCCCCTATGCAGGTTGCTCAGAATTACAATCCTGCCCCTATGCCGGTTGCCCAGAATTACAATCCTACCCCTATGCCGACGGCTCAAAATTACAATCCGGCCCGTGTGTCAGCTGCTCAGAGTTATAATGCACCCCAGGCACCAGGTGCTGAGAGTTATAATGCACCCCAGGCACCAGGTGCTCAGTATTACAATAAGCCCACCGCCGGAGGACGCAGAGGAGGAGACTACTATAACCGCCCGCTACCCAAAGATGGGCGTCGCTTTTCTTCAACAGCTTCTGATGACAGTATGCTGACCAACCAAATTCTGGCTAGTGACAAGTCTCATGCCCGTCCCTATGATGTCACTCTCCTTTCTTTGAAGCACATTCTTCAAACCGTCGACGTGATTCTGTCCCGCGTCACCCAACCTGACATCCACAGCACCGTCACGGTAAGTTTGGCTCTCACAATCGCACAAGAAATCACTTGGTAGAAATGTTATCGTCAATAATTTAGTTTTATAAACGGTATGTTGTTGCTCATAGCGTGAAATTGTTTGTGTCTAAATAGGGAGCACTAGTGCCGGGTACACATGCCGATGCTTTGGAGCATGAGAAGGCTTCCCATGCTATCATCAGTAGTCTCCCTGACAACTACGATGTTCCAACCAGCCTGTTTAATGCAATTTCCTGCGAGGTTTATAACATACATACTATAGCTTACAACTAAATGTGAACTTGTATCGCACGTTCAGACAACAATCAACTTGATTAATAATCTAGATTTTCAATCAATGAAAAAAAAAAAAACATTTTTCTCGCGATAGATAATGAGCACTATTGCAAAACAATCGGCATTATGGACAATTTGGTCCTCTAGTTGAACTTACAAAATAAGAGGCCTATTAATTGTCTTGGCACTTCAAATATGTGACAGATATTCTGCAAGTGGCTGTCTGGGGAAGATGCCAACAAGACAACCATGGACATATTAGACACAGTGCAACACTACGACTGGGATGAAAAGGTTGTGCTTGCCTTGGGAGCTTTTGCTGTGAAAGATGGTGAATACTGGCTTGTGGCTCACCTTTACACCACCAACCCTCTCGCCAAAGCGGTTGGGCAGCTTAAGCAAGTGCAAGAGATACTGGAACATGCCGGGACTCGTTTGAAGCCCAAGTTTGACGCCTACAACAATCTGGTTAGGGCCGTGCTCAATGTGACCAAGGGCATTGTTCAGCTACATGACCTCCACCGCAACCCCGTCATGACCACTGAAGCAGAGTCGGCGGCTACCACTGCTCTTATCCCCACAGCTGTTTACTGGACGATTCGGAGTATTGTAGTTGCTGCAACACAGCTTTTGGGGATCACTGGCATGGGCCCCGAGTAAGTACTCGTTCTTCTGAATGCATGTGTCTGGTTTATATCCATAGTCTGACAACATTAACATTATTTGGCAAGCAAGAAAACGCGATGTTAAAGTCATTATGTTTTCCGTTTATTTGGCTTCTATTAGGCATATGACAGAGGCATGGGAACTGTCTTCCTTGGCTCATAAGCTCGAAAACATACACAGCCACCTCAAGGAGAATCTCGACAGATTACTCGACATCATCAGTGAGTCTAGTTAACAAGTAGAGTTAGCTTAATTACCCTATATGTTTATGCAAATGCCTAGCTAGAGATTAATGGTCTGCTGTGATGCAGAGAGGAAGAAAGAAGAGCAAGAATTAAGTGAAATTTCTTACATCTTGGAATCACCACACATTGACAACAGCAAGCCTTTGAGGGTCCTGTTTTACAAGGATGATCAGCCTGCACTCTATGATTGCTACAACAAGAAGAGGGTTCGCTCTGAAATCTCACTTCTCTTCTATCCCTACAATAAATATATATATATATATATATATATATATAATCAATAGAATTGATCAACCAAGATCATTTTCAATATCATCAGGTCAACTAACCTTGATTAAAAAAAGTAATAAGGATATAGAAGAGCTGGATGACTGCATCAAGTACTTAATTTTTAATCAACTGAATTCTAATTTTTAATTAAACCATGCACTTTCCTTGCATTAAGCACATACTTGGAAGAAAGTTAATGTCAAAGTTATGATTTCAATGTTTAATTAACCAATTAACTCCCTCATACCCAATGTATACATCAAACAGGTTGACATTGATGTGCTGAAGAGGAAGGTTGTGATACTGTTCCTTTCGGACATAGACGTTGTCCACGAAAACGAGTACATGATTGTTCAGCAAATGTACTTGGAAAAACGGCAGAACCCAACCAGGACGGAGAGCCAGTATGAGGTTGTGTGGGTTCCGATTGTGGACATATGGACCGATGCCAAGTACCAGCAGTTCGAGGATCTTAGAAGGAACATGGAATGGTACACATTGTTCCACCCTTCGGTTGTCCCTAAGACTGTCATCAGGTACATCAGGAAGCAGGATAAATGGAACTATGGCAAGAAGCCTCTGCTTGTGGTGATGGACCCTCAAGGAAAAATAGTGCACACCAATGCTGTTCACATGATGTGTGTTTGGGGAAGCATAGCCTTCCCTTTCACTAGCAACAGAGAGAAATTACTCTGGGAGGAAGAGAAGGATTGGAGGATCGAGCTTTTGGCAGATGCTATCGATCAGAACCTAATTACCTGGGTATATCCATATTCGCTTTATAATATTTAATATTCGCTTCAGAATATTTACAGTTTGATAGCATAATATGTCACTTTATATTAGTACTAATTTTTGACACAACGTGTTTCAGATCACGGAAGGGAAATACATTTGCTTGTATGGCGGGGAAGATATAGATTGGATCAGAAATTTCACAAGGTCAGCCAAAAATGTGGCTCGGGAAGCTGGGATCCAGTTGGAATTGCTTTATGTGGGGAAAAGAAATCCTAAGGAGAAAGTGGTGAGGAACATCATGAACGTCATCCAAGCTGAGAAGCTAAGCTACACTCTTGAGTGGAGCCTTATCTGGTTCTTCTGGATGCGTCTCGAGAGCATGTGGCAATCCAAGGGACACCAGATGCAGTCTGAGGTTAGGTCTGGTCGAGTTAGGACCGACAACAAGAAGAATGATCCAGTGATGCAGGGGATCATATCGATGTTGAGCTTCGGTTCAAGTGACCGTGGATGGGCTGTGATTGGCGCCGGTTCATCAGAGATGGCTAAGGCTAATGGAGAGCACATGCATAGAAGTTTAAGCGAGTATAACTTGTGGAATAGAAGGGTGAACGAGATAGGGTTTGTGCCTGCACTGATTGAGTACTTGACTGGGGTTTATAAAGAAGCTCCACATCACTGCACCAGTCTCATATTGCCTGCCACCGGACTCATGCCTGAGACGGTGGCCTGCGCTGAATGTGGCCGCCTCATGGAGCGGTTCACCATGTTCCGCTGCTGCACTGATTGATCAGCTTCTGTTGCACCGGACCACAAGTCTGCTTTTTATGATACGTTGAGTTTCCCTACCTGATTGCAAGCTACTGTTGCTGCTTTTTACTAGTACTCGAAGTGCTATATTTGTGTATGACAATAAATGTGACACCTGAATTATGGCAGTGCATTAGGTGCCACCTACAGTGTGCTATCATATTATGATCCAGTATTATTGCTACCAACAAATTTCAATTATTCATTTTTAATTTGGGTCCATTTTAATAAGTTATTAGAGTACTGTTAGCATATTGATCTCGTTCACCAAATGATATGACAATTTTTTATTGATTTAAACCTGGATCCATTATTAGTTATTAACAAATAAAATATTTACACATCCTGACATATTATTTGGTGAACAAATTAGTGAATAAGTTTAACACTATAATTAATGTTACTATTGTCATTTTCCACTCCTAATTTGTACTAGAGGTGGAAGCATTGCCTCTCATGGCATGCATGGCTACATGTTAAGATTAACATATACGGATATGATGAAAAGTGGAGGCTAAAAAGTAGCTAATGAACCGAAGTAATTCGTTCATTAAAGAATTATCAGAGAGATAATCATAATAATTTAGTTTAGGGTTCTTTACTGGGGTCTATTTGACTTGAACAGTAGTTTAGCCGCCTAGCTTTGTATAGTCTGCCTTTAAAGTTATAGATTAATTAGCCCTAAATGACAATAATAAACAAATTAAGCAATTATCGGACAGAAGCTTATGTCTCTTGATCACTCCTGAATAAGAACTTATAATTCTTCACACAAGCTTCATGAGTCCGGAGATCATTGTTTAATCATTGTAGAATGTACGAACTTTACATCGGAAATTTGACAATATAAAGTATGAATGATTCTAATATTAACTATACATGAGGTTTTTTTGTAATAAAACCTAACACCTGATGTGCTATTTGATCAAATACAAGACAAAGATAGTATCAATGTAATTAGCGATAGATCGTAGATATGTATATTATTTCTTTTACATAGGCAATAACTAAATCCTTTCTCGTCTGAGATTTTAATTGAGATTGTTTATCTGTTAGCTTTGGAATCTACGATCTATCAACGTTTTCAGATAAATATTTGAAACTCGATGCAAACTCCGAATGCAACAAAAACAAATTTGCAAAGGTGAAAGAAGATACAGAATGGTGACAGTGCATCATGACGTCAGTAGATAAAAAGATATTCCTGGAGTAAGAATGTTTGAACCTTAATGCTAACTCTTTTTAGTTTAAACCCTAATGCAAGCAAGGTAGCAGCTTTACACTGTTGTTTTTTTTTTTTTTTTAACATTTGATATGCACCATGTAACTACTATATAAACCCTAGTTAGCTAATACCAACTGCAACCAACACAGTGAAGTCATTGCCGGTATCCTTCCATCCCCTCATAGCTTAGAAAGCCCGACCTTCGATAATGGCCCTGGTACCTCACAATAAGGCTGTCAACCCAACAAGCAGAGGAGCCGGCCATAATCGCCCTCCTCTGCTTAAACAAGGGCGTGACAGACATCGTCAATTTTCGACAACAGCAGATGACAGTGCGTTGGTCAACCAAATTATGCTGACTGATAAGTCTCATGACCATCCCTACGAAGTGCCTCCTCTTGCAGTCACGCAAATTCTTCAAACCATTGAGGCCATTCTTTCGCGCGTCACCAAACCTGAAATCCATGATGGCATTCTAGTCCCGGTCCGTCCGTGTCTAATTTTTTCGCTTAATTATGTACATAGATTCTGTAGCTGCTGCTAATTTAATTTCGTTACTTTGTTGCTGATCGATTATGTTGTTTCGATGTTGTTTGTGTGTGAATTAGGGAGCATTAGCACCGGCAGCTACACACGTGGATGCTTTGGAGCATGAGAAGACCCTTCATGCTAACCTGAGTACCCTCCACGACAGCGTTGATGTTCCACGCAGCGTGTTCAATGCAATTCACTCCAAGGTTTGCCTCTACATATGTACTTATTTTCCAATTGTGACGCAACATTATTCATAAGTGCGATTTCAATTGACAGTCTAACAATACGAACATGCCAATTTTGTTGATTGATGGGAAACAGTTAATGTGCACATTTGTGCAAGGGGAAGATGCAAACAAGACAACAATGGACATACTAGACATTGTGCAACACTACGATTGGGATGAAAAGGTGGTGCTTGCCTTGGGAGCATTTGCGATCAAAGATGGCGAGTTTTGGCTCGTGGCTCAGCAATACACCACCAACCCACTCGCCAGAGCGGTTGGACAGCTTAAGCAACTGCAAGAGATCTTGGAACGTGCGGGGACTAGTTTGAAAACGAAGTTCGATGCATACAACAGTCTGGTTAGGGCCATTTTCAAAGTGACCAAGACCATTGTTCACTTACAGGAGATTCACAACGATCCCCAATTAAGCCCCGAAATCAAAGCTACAGCTGCCACTGCTCAGACCCCCACAGCAGTTTACTGGACAATTCGGGCTATTGTAGTTGCTGCATCACAACTTCTGGGAATCACAGGCTCAGAGCCAGAGTAAGTTGTTTTGTGGCATGCTCTAATTTGTTCGAGAACAAAACTATTTGGACCACCTCAAATGACTGTGTTGTATCAGGTACGTGACAGAGGCGTGGGAACTATCATCTCTGGCCCATAAGCTCGAAAACATATTCGATCACCTTGAAGATATCCTCGACAGATTACATCAACTTATCTGTGCGTGTTAACCTAAAAAAGATACAGAGTATTAACACTTGTTAGGCCTGTCCTGTATAAATTGTTTATATAACTAAATAATTGATTATGTGATGCAGGGAAGAACAAAGAAGAGGAAGCTTTCAACACAATCGCGCGCATCTTGGAAACACCACACATGGATAACTCGAAGCCTCTGAGGGTTTTGTTTTACAAGGATGATCAGCCTGCACTATATGACGGCTACAACAAGAAGAGGGTTGGCTTTAAAAACCTCACATTCTTTTCTCTTCTCGGAGCGACTATGTTTTGAATGTCAGCGACTCTGTTCCCCAATTAATTGAAAACTTTCTGAAATACAGGTTGACATTGATGTGCTGAAGAGGAAAGTAGTGATTCTGTTCATCACAGACCTAGACGTTGTCCACGAAAACGAGTACATTATTGTCCTACAAATGTACTCGGAAAAGCTACAAAACCCTACAAGGCCGGAGAGCCAATACGAGGTTGTGTGGGTTCCAATTACGGATGCATGGACTGAAGCCAAGTACAAGCAATTCGAGAGTCTAAAAGATAGCATGCAATGGCACACCGTGTTCCTCCCTTCTGTAGTGTCTCCGATTGTGGTCAGGTACATCAGGGACCCGAGGAAGTGGAATTTTGCCAAGAAGCCTCTGCTTGTTGTGATGGATCCTCAAGGCAAAATTGTGCACCAGAATGCTGTTCACATGATGTGCATTTGGGGAAGCATTGCCTTCCCTTTCACTAACCAGAGAGAGAGATTGCTTTGGGAAGAAGAAACCTGGAGGATCGAGCTTTTGGCTGATGCCATTGATCCGAACTTAAGTACTTGGGTACATACTATTCTATCGTATTTGCATCTTATGCTACTACTAGACTGAATATGAATCATTGTTTAAGATGCTGCATCTAAAAATGTGCAATCCGGATTCTTGAATATGTGATTTTTGCATGAATTTCAGATTACGGAAAAGAAGTACATTTGCTTGTATGGCGGAGAAGACATAGAGTGGATCCGAAACTTCACGAAGGCTGCAAGAAACGTGGCTGTTGAAGCCAACATTCAGTTGGAAATGCTATATGTGGGGCGGAGCAAGCCTAAGGAGAACGTGGTGAAGAACATCATGAACATCATCCAAGCTGAGAAGCTAAGCCACATCCTTGACTTGAACCTCATTTGGTTCTTCTGGATTCGTCTCGAGAGCATGTGGCAATCCAAAGGACAACTTCTAAGTGAGCAAGGCAAAACCCATTCCCCAACTGATCCTTTGAAAAGCGATCCTATAATGCAGGGGATCATATCGATGCTGAGCTTTGGCTCGAGCGACCGCGGATGGGCAGTGATCAGCCAAGGCTCCCCAGTCATGTCCAGGGCAAATGGAGAGCACATGTTGAAAAGCTTGGGGGCGTTTAAAGACTGGAAAAATAGGTCATCTGAAGTAGGGTTCATTCCAGCCCTGAATGAACACCTAGAAGGGGTGCACAGACAAGCTCCACACCACTGCACCAGTCTTATTTTGCCTGCAACCGGAATCATGCCCGAGACGGTGCAGTGCGCTGAGTGCGGCAGACTTATGGAGAGGTTCTCCATGTTCCGCTGCTGCCTCGATTGAGCTTGAGCTCAAAAGGCACCAGTTTGATTTCTACTTACATTCGTTTACATATTTATATGCTGCTGCTACTTACCTTATTGGTGTGAATGTAGTGCGTGTTGCTTTACAATATTTGTATCTTCCACTTCAACTTTTATTTTCGGTTATCCCACTCCCGTTCTCTCTTTCTGCATATCTCCTGTACTCTCACTTGCGTTAAATCAAATGAACAGAGCGATTACCAAAAAAAATACAAACTTAGGGACTTCAGTGTGCGTAACATTGAGATCATTGGCACTAAGGTCTCACTGAAATCCGCTAAGATATTAAAAATTTCATCATGAGCCCAATTTGGAGGAAAAATATTGGATCATGCGATCTCGTTTCCTGTCCGACCATTCAAAATCAACCGGCATATCAAAAGCAAAAACACAAGTGGTTAACCTTACAACAAAGATGAAGGATTGATTGAGGTGAGCTCAGAGACATCCCTTAATAATCAGCTTCTGGTTCTACTAATTACCAGATCAGAACTACAGCCAAGGGTTTGATTCATCGTCACTGCTCAATTATTTTCAAATTTCATAAAAAAATTATTTCAAAAAGTTAACAAAATAATAATAATAAATAAATGTACCAGGAGACAGGTAACACAGTGCAAAAGCAAGAAGCAGACACGGTGCTGTTTAATACTGGTAATTCGTAATTTTAATCTATGCTTCGGAAACTAGAACATCCCCAATCCAATCGAAATTTACAGGGCGTTCACCATATGAAGCAACAACCACCACCTCCCCCGACAAATTAAGCTACAAAAAACAAAAACACCGACAGTGATTTGTAAGACAATGTCTCGACTCCGGCCCAAAACCAGACAGCAGTCTACGACCATTTCGAAAAATGCGTAGCTGCTTTTTTTGATGAATTTGGGATGGAAATCGAAGCTGATTTACGCTTCCGTTGACACGTCCTTCTGGAATTATAAACCAGCTGATGAACGTAACGCCTATCAGAAGCGACCCACAAACCCTAAACCCTAATGCATAAAACCCCTAATGAATATAAACTAATCGAAATCGAAATCGATATCGAAGCGCAAGTGTAAACAGGAAGGAGCAGCGGCGTTAGGGTTGAAGAACGCTGGGGCGGGATTTTATAGAAGAACGCGGCGGATTGGACGTCCAACACAACCCCTTTGTTTTTGTGGTATATAACGAAAATGCCATTGGGGCCGTGGAAGGAAGCTCTGTTGTGGGTCTGGGCTTAGTTATGGGACTTGGTTGGGATGGGCTCGAGTTTGTGGGATTAGGCCATAAATTTTAAGGAAACGGACCCACAATTTATTCACTACACGTATTCCTTTTTCTTTTTCTTTATATATACACACAACGAAATATTTAGGGGCGGACAAATAATTGCTATCAAATTCTAGTACGTGAATTCGAACTTAAAATATTTTATTTAAAAGTGCGAAAGAATATACATATTCCTTTAAAACTTATGGAGAAGTGAAAAACCATTGAAGGTTTGAATGGCCTACCTGACCTACGCCACCCAGGCGAGGTTTGAATGGCCCATCTCATCAAAAGGATAAATTTTTTGTTGCGATGGGAATACAAGTGGTACACCACGTGCTTTAATAAAAGTGGTGAAAAATTTTATTTTTTAAATTATTAACTTTTTAGCACGCACATCTCATCATTTGTATGATGACATAGAGAAGTGGGAAAACTCCCCTGCACTCATCCTGCACACAACCTCGCATTTGCGCAACTGAGTCAGGAACTCAAGCAAGACAGAAACAAATGAAAATAATAAAAAATGCCCCCATGCAGGATCGAACTACAGACCTTCAGTTTACAAGACTGACGCTCTACCACTGAGCTATAGGGGCGTGCTGTTGTCAATTCCGAACTTAATTTAATTACCTTGGTATCCTGCTGACACTTTCAGAACGGAAAACTGGTGAGTGATATGCAAGTCAACAGAGGCCCACTTGGTCGAGGCTTTAGCTTTTGTGTCTGCTGAATTATCAAACAACGGTGGGGAAAAGCACAAGCACTACTAGTACATATTAGATGTGAGAGAGCCCGGTTGAAAGTTGAAACTCGACAGAGACAGTGACCTTGTTCGCCTGCATGCAACGTTCAGAAAAACTGGGACATAAAGAATAATAAGGCTACTACTTGAATTGTTAGTGGATAAGAGTTTTAAAAGGAAGGGATATCCTGATCATCTGCTGTGACATAGTGGAGAACACTGCTCTCATCATGTATCTGGAAACAGTAATGAAAAGGTTAAATGGATGAGGTTTCTGTCAATGTCTCAAACCTAGAGGAATATTACTAATGGTGCACTGCACCCTCACTTAACTACAAACAAAATAATGTTACATATCCAATGATCTCTTACACTTAAGGAGTTATTATTTTTACTTGTAAATTATAGTCTGATATATATATGATGATAACTCATTAAAATCACCAAAAAAAAATTCACTCGTACGTGTCAAATTGTATTTTTCTAGAGGAAGAGAAAATATCTTACATATGAGCAGGCAAGTATATCTTTTCCTCCTCATATCCTGTAAAGAGGCCAACAACTCAAATGCTAGTGAATTGGCAGGAGATCACAAATTGGTTACTAGGGTTTGTCTCCTTGATTCTGAAGGAATTAAAGTTCTGGCTCTCACTAGTGACTACTTTCTCTTAATTTCTCTTTTATAGAACAACATTGTTAATTGTCTTCATATGTTTGCACAATACATTTAAAATATATCTTGACAATTACAATGGAAAAAAAACCTAACACAATACACCTTTAGGGACGCGTAGCGTCCGTGATGCAAAAATGTCTCTCGCATGCACGTTAGTGCGTGCGGAGAGGCTAGTACAAAATAAAATGTAAAATAGCACATTGCCACCCGCATGAACATGCGACAAGAGACTTGTATTTTAGAATGGTTATCCTCTCTAGTGGCGTATTAATCCAAGCATTATGTTCAAGGAGGGGAATTTAACTAAGACCTCTTGTTTTAAGAGACATAGCTATGGCTACTTAGCTAAACTCCAAACTACAAAATCCAACCAAGGCCTCAACATTATTACAAAATGCTTGTGTCCCAAAATCCAACCAAGGCCTCAACATTATTACGAAATGCCTGTGTACCTCCCCCCCGCCCCCCCCCCCCCCCGGGGCTCCCTCCCTCCCTCCCACTAACAAACATTTACTGTCCAAACATCATAATTCAAACCGTTCACTCTGTTTATCATCATCAAAAAATCATACGTGCAAAAATCATGTAATTTGAAGATCATTTAGTCATCTATACGTGTTAAATCAATCAAATGTTTTGGTAACACATAGCTCATGAAGAACCGTCTATTATTTTATGCATATGAATGATTAAAAGATCTCAAGTTGAATATTTTTTTTGCATATATGATACTTAGATGATGATAAAGAGAATGAACGTTTCCAATTATGATGTCCAAAAAGTTCGTTAATTGTAAATGAGGGACAAATAAGTCCCTCTTAAAGCAGCGCCACAAGCATTATCCTTCTTAATATTCATTCGTTAGGATAATACTTCTCAATTTAGTTTCGATCTAAATTGAGTTTAAATATAAATTAATTGGTGATGTTTAATCGCCCTTCTTTTACAAAAAGACAATGAGGAGACAACTTGCGATTAATTTATGAAGTGGTCTAGTAACATTGTACGTAAAGAAAACTAAGAGAATTAGACGAAACTGAGATTGATGAACTACTAAACCACCACCTAATTAAGCCTCAAATGATTAATTTTTAATTTTTTTAGTTAAAACGATAGCGGCTTTATTCATTTAAACATAAGTACAGTTAGAAATTAAGACATCAAAAATTAAATTTGGCGGTTCATCAAACCAAAAAGAATACGAAAGGCTCAAATGACTAATAGATACGTGGATTGCGTGTAAAACCAAATGTATTCATTTTTCTATAAAACAACCCAGAGTTTCAGATGTACTTCACCAATTAACAATGAGTAATTTTGTGCAACTCTACTAACTTAATCTTTAATTAAGTGATCTTAATTAAGTAATTGGAACAAATTAAGACGCAATTCAAGAGGAGACGCAAATGCGTGCCTTGTGATATGGAATGCACGCCGGTTGGTTTGCACATCTAATTTCCCAAACGATATATGCATGAACACAATCACTATGGTAATTGACTAATTGACAAAAAATTTGGTAATTGACTAATTGACAAAAAATTGGTAATTGACTAATTGTAGTTAAAGTTAGTTAAAATAAAGTAATCCTAGGGAAACATATTAGTAACAAGCTCTCTTAAACATTGATTGGTTGATTAATAGCGTTCTCCCGCCCGCGGGTTAATCATATGGATTAACAAAGTGTTTTTTTGTCTTCATATGGTGAGGCCTTGGAGTCTTCTTCCAGCTCCTCAATATATTATTCTTTCAAATCAATTGAGAATAATCTAAAGTTTAGGGTTACGAGTTAAACTAGAGTTTTATTTGTTTTGAGTTTTAAGGTTTTGTGTCACATCCTAGGCCCGCTCCACCACCGTAGCATGATATTGTCCGTTTTGGGCCCTGACCACGCCCTCAGACTAGAACTTCCTAGTGCGTCACCCATCATGGGAGCGCTACTCGCTTAACTTTGGAGTTCCTACGGAACCCGAAGCAAGTGAGCTCCCAAAAGACCTCGTACTAGGTAAAGATGGGAATACACATATAAGGCCCACAGGATCCACTCCCCTAGACGATGTGGGATGTTACATTTTGGCTACAAGTTATGTTTACATTTAGTGACATGGGCTTTATAGTGCAGATATTGTCTGTTTTAGTTATGCACTTTTGCTATATTTTAGTTTTTTTTTTTTTTTTTTTTTTTTTTTAACGTTGTTATTAATGGTAAGAGAAGGGGGAAAGGGGTAGAGTTTGAACTCGAAATACAGTGAGTTGAAATGGAAGATTAGAGTAAGCTTGGTTTCTTATGGTTATTACTTTTACTGTTTGGTGATGATGCACGTTTGAAGTTTATCTAATAAGAATCGTTTTTTTTAATAAAATAATAACAAAAATTAAAACTAGGGCACTTCCATTATGAATTGAATGCTTAATTTAATTGGAATTACACGATTAAATAGTGTTTTATTTTGTAGATTTTCACTTCCTTGATTCAAACCTTATAAATTGTACATGATTTGGATCACATTTGAGGGGTATCCACTATCTGGTCTTATAAATAAATAAAAATGAAGACATCTTCATTAAATTGATGACTAATAAAGTCACATATATTACATAAAATCACAGAAGTCGTCATCTGCTTCATGCAACAACATAGAAAAACCATTCTACATATAACAATGAACTAGTCCCAAAAAATAATACAATTCATAAGAAAATAAACTACAAAAGAGACTCCATTAAAAAAATAAAAAAAATAAAAGAGACTTGAAGATGCTGTAATCACATTGCTAATCAATCATCTATTGTATTTATAATAAATGATATGTATGTTGGATACTTACAGCACAAGTAATAAAAGTTCTTTTATAAATGTTGTGCCAATATTTGGCTGACATTTAGTTCCTTTTAATCCCTTGCATGTTAAAGATTTTAATTGTTTCTTGATATACGCGATAAAAACAATAAGTAACTGAGATAAATATTAATATTACTGAGTATCACAAAGCAAACAAAGTATATACATATATGAACTTGGAACAATCAATTTAAATCCTATCGGATTGGTTAAAAATGCTTTTGTAAAGGGTTACAACTTACAACCAAAGACACTAATTGTCCTAAGGCTGGTAAATCGACACTACAAAAGAGATGATAGCAAAGCAAATTCTAATTGGTATTAGAGTCTAAAAGAAGGTTTCCTAAAGTTCTAAGGTCTTGGTTTCGAAGTGGTTTTTTGGTAAGGTAAAATAAATTAAACAAGTAAAACGTATAGACCTTTTGGTTTGAAAGCTTGTAGTCTATTTCGTTGAATGATTTGAGTGTATTTTGCTTCAAGTCTTTTAACTCGTTTATATAGAATTCCAACTGCTTTCCTTGATCACTAATACGAACTCCTT